AGATGACAAATCCAGATTACACCATCACATAAAAAGCCAGATAGTCACACTGTGTCCAGAGAGCAGCATTGCACCAATAATACACCAATGGAGGTTCACAGTACTGAAAACCAATGTCATGGGGAGCTTCCTCTCTCCTTCAGCAACACAAGAGTCCAGTCCCTTCACACTCCTACTTGGTGCTCAGCGCCCAACCTACTCCTACACAGCTACGATCAGCCTAATAATAGACAATGCAACTGTTGACGTCAGCGGCAACCCGAAGTACTTGAAGATGTCGCCCATATGCTGACCATCGCCAATACAAGGTAAGTGCCCTCACATTATCATCATCATCATCATCCTTCGCCCTTCCCTGACTTAACACCCACACCTGTCCTCTCTTGCAGCCGAAGACCACCCCTGCGCCTCATTGTGTATCCAAGCCGAGCCCGCTATGGAGGCTGGCTATGGCGCTGCCCTCAGCAGCGCCCTGCTCCCACACACGACCGCACGTGCGCAGCCTCTTGCTCCAATGCCGGCAGCCAGCCCGCGAGCAATCGCTCCAGCAGCNGCCCTCAGCAGCGCCCTGCTCCCACACACGACCGCACGTGCGCAGCCTCTTGCTCCAATGCCGGCAGCCAGCCCGCGAGCAATCGCTCCAGCAGCCCTGCCGCCAGCCAACAAGTGACCGAATGAGGCTGCCAGCGGAGAGCTCTTTCCTTTATGGAAAGAGCTGGCCTGCTTGCCCTGCCTGGCTGCCCTGGCCTGGGCCCAGAAGCCTCCGGAAGGCCCCAGGATGCTGCCTGTGTACAGCGGCTACTGGGCTTGCTGGGCCTCGTTCAGTTGGGCGCCCAACTCTCTCTGTATGAGGCTGCGATTCACACCCAGGGCCTGCATTCTTTGGAAAAGCCCAGAGGGCCGTGGAAATGTCTTTGTGGCCCGGCCTGAGTTTCTCTCAACCAACTGGCGCGTCGCAACTGCCTGGACCCCAAATATGAATTTGACAGTAGGGGGCCTCTTGCGATATGTCACGCCCGCCTTCACTTAGGGCAGGCAATGCTGCAAACAGGGCCCCTTAGGCCTACCGAGGACCTTGATCCTCGCATTCCCTCCTCCTTTACTTCGGTATTCCTCTGAGAATTCTCTTACTCTGCAGGCATCTTCCCTTTTCGTTCTCTTTCATCGCCTGCAATCACTTGAGGTGTTGTTCTCATGAGTTCCTCTCGTGTGAACCAGCGATCTTCCTTGGGATCGAGGTGATGTCTAAAGCTCACACGATACTGCATTCTCGGTTTAGGAGGGCGCCCTCTGCCTGTTAATCGAGGAACAGGCATCATTCGATGCTCCACAATCTGATCAATGTCCACCTCGCCGTCCATGGTTGGGGGCAGCATTGATCTTCTTGAAGGAAACTGCTCCGTAGCAGCGAAAGGTGCCAACTTGGAAGCATGGAACACAGGGTAAGTGCGTAGGTGTGCAGGAATACGGATCACGTATGAAGGCCCATCTGGTTGATCCCCTACAATGTCCAAGATCTCCCAGGGCCCAAAATAATGTGGCATCAGTTTTCTGGATATTCCCATCTCCTAACGAAGTTCAGATGGCTTTACCCAGACTCTATCACCTACCTGAAAGTTAGAGGGCCGTCTATGCTTATTCTCATATGCGATCATAGCATCCTGAGACTTCCTAATATGTTCAACGGCCTGCTGCAGCATCTGTTCATATTTGACAGCAAAATCTATGCTGCCAGGTGCTGCAGCGGGTTGTCTTTCTGGTAGCAGAAAGTCAAGTGCAGTTTTGGGCTTCCAACCAAGATGTAACTGGTTGGGAGTCGTACCGGTAGCACTATGCACAACATTGTTGTACAGGCAGGTGACGAGCGGTAACTTCTCGTCCCAGTCATCCTGACTTGGCTTAATATAATGTCTAAGCAGGTGTTGTACTACTCGGTTCATCTGTTCTACCTGGCCATTTGACTTAGGGTGATTCCCTGAGGTCATTTGGAGTTTTGTGCCCATCTGTTCAGCGGTTGACTGCCACAGTTCACTTGTGAATCTCACATCCCTATCACTAACGATAGATGTAGGCAAACCGAAATCACGTACCCAATTATCCATAAACATTTTGATGACGTGGTCAGTCTTAGCACTTTCAGGCATAGCGATTAGTCTGGCATACTTAGAAAAACGATCCACTATAACGAAGATGTGTCTCTTTCCAGACCTGCTGGTCACAAGGGTGTCCATAAAATCCATAGACATACTCTGACCTGGTCCTTCAGGAATCGACAAGGGCTTAATCATCCCAAGCGGTGCCTGAGTCCTTGGTTTGTCCCTTTGACAAACATAGTGTTTTGCATCTAACATCATAGAGGGCCACCAGAATCTCTGTACTAAGTTCGCTGATGTCTTCTTGTATCCAAAATGACCAGTTGCATCACGACATTCTCCTAAAAATAAACTACGCAAAGACTCACTATTGGGAACACACAGTCTTTTATTCCCTGCCTTTTCAAGAAACAGCAAGCCGTCTAACATCGTAAATTATCCTTTGCCTTGAATCTACGGATGATCTCAGACATAACCGGATCTTGCTGATAGGCGTCCACCAATGATCGAGTCGAATCGCTAGATATGCCAAACTCAGTTACTAGTGCGCCCAGATAATCCGCCCGGCGAGATAACGCATCAGCCACTTTGTTGTACTCTCCCTTGATTGGATCAGGTTGATAGTCATACATGTCTATCACTTGTATCCAGCGCTTGAGTGCGTCAGAGAGTACTGGCCGAGTCTTGATCCAGCGCAAGGTCTCATGGTTAGATCTCATATAAAAGAATCTGCGCTTTGTACAAGGCATAGAGCTCACGCTCATAAGTGGACTTAGCTAGTTTCTGAGATGGCATCTTTTTGCTCATGTACTCAAGATAGGTCTCAACTTGGGCCCCTCCTTTTGCGCAAGCGCACCTATGCCATATTGGCTGGCGTCTGTTGTCACAACAAACGGCTTATCAGGATCAGGAAGTTTAAGAACCTCATAGTATGTCAGGGCGCACTCCAGTTTCCTAAAGGCCGCCTCACACTCTTCAGTCCACTCCCAAGGGGTGTCCAGTCGAGTTGGATCTGTCAATGGGGAAGCTATAGTACTATAGTTCTTCACAAACGGACAATAGTAGCCCGTCGTCCCCAAAAACGATCTGACCTCAGTAACAGTCTGAGGTCTGGACCAGTCACGTATGCTGGCCACTTTGGCATCATCCGGCCTCAATCCATCAGCTGAGATTTCATGACCCAAGTACAAGATCTTGGTGCGACCAAACTCGCATTTCTCCAAGTTCACCTTGTACTGGTGCTGTCTTAAGAGACCTAGCACTGTTTTCAAGTGCTCAGCGTGCTCCTCTACAGTCCTACTAAAGATGAGAATATCGTCAAGGTACACGACAATAAACTTGTCTAAGTAGCTATGAAAAATCATGTTCATCGCGTGCTGGAACGTACTAGGTGCATTGCATAGTCCAACGGGCATCACCACAAACTCGTACAGACCGTACCTGGTCCGAAATGCGGTTTTGTGCTGATCCTCGGGCCTAATAGCAATTTGATGGTATCCGGACTTCAGATCTATCTTGGTGAAGTACCGGCATCCCTGCACTCTATCCAAGAGGTCGTCGATGCGGGGTATGGGCTCCGCGTTCTTAACGGTGATGGCATTGAGGCCCCTATAGTCAATGCGCATCCTCAAGGTACCTCCCTTCTTCGGTACGAATAGGACTGGAGCGTCGTAAGGGGAGGTGCTAGGCCGAATCCATCCCTTCTCTGTGAGCTCCTTGAGCTGGCGGCGGAGCTCATCTAACTCCGCAGGAGACATCCTATAGATTCGTCCTCTAGGCACCTTGCTACCTGGGACAACCTCTATTGCATGGACAACCTCCCTTTCCACCACGCCTGTGGGCTCCTCAAAAAGGTCTGAATATTGTGCGACGACTGATTCTATCTCTGGGGGTGTTTTATCGGCCTCCCCTTTCTCATAGACAAATACTAAATACATGCCCTCCTCGCGATTCTGCTTATAATAGTTATAGAAGGATGATGCACACATGCACCCGTAGTTTTCTATTAGACTGCTAGCTTTGAACTTTTGCAATACCTTTGGGCAATTTGTGAATCAATACCTTTGGGCAATTTGTGAATCAATACCTTTCTATCCCAGTCAAACTGCGGTTGCGCGACCTCGAGGTAGTACATACCTAGGAGCATATCAAAGGAGATTTTATGGCTCACTTCCCCTCCTCCATAGGAGAAGGTACAGACTACATCCTTGACATAGTCTTTTACCAACATTTGGTGTTTGTTGGCCAGCGTAGAAGCTACAGTTCTGCTAAGCCGCTGCACTTGGTCCCCTAAGCGCAGTCTATCCACACAAGCACGACTGATGAAATTTCGCGTAGAGCCTATGTCTCCCCTAAGCGCAGTCTATCCACACAAGCACGACTGATGAAATTTCGCGTAGAGCCTATGTCTGCGAAGGCGCCCACTTTTCGGTCGCCTACATAAACTTCTACCACGAAATGTTCACCCTTTGGACCTCTACTTATCATCGCCCAAGAGTCCCTGGGGTCCTTCCCTGACCACTCAGTCTCTAACTCCTCTAGGGCCTCAGACACATCTCTCGAACAGAGCATCGGTGGGTCCGAATGTGTCTGCGGGGCGATACGTGGGTCTCTAGCCTTGGCCAACGGCTGAAGTGGGGAAGCCAACGTTACAACTTCAGCGCGAGTAAAAGCGGCTAATACTCCTATTGGCCCGAGGTGTTTCCCTGTGAAGTGCTCGCAGAAGCACCGCCAGAGTTCGAAGAAAGTCCCACCACCGTTGGTGAGGCTACCCTCGTCAAGACTTTCTTGCCTAAACACGTTTGAGACGTGTGGCCATAGTTGCCACAGTTCATGCATGTGCCCCTAGCAACTCGGTCCCTCCACACCTCATACTCTAAACCAAGTTTTACCCATGCGGTTGTTCCTTGGTCGCCCTGACCCATGGACCGTACTACCTTCTTCTTCCTGGTCCCCCTAGCCTTTTCCTTGATGGGTGCCACGACTCCCCCATCCGAAGTCTCACTAGCCCCATCTTGCTCTGTCACGTCCCCAAGGTCTGGGAAATCGTCAATCTCCGTCGTTTGACCATAATGGTCTACGAACATCAACTGACCCTTCTTCTTCCAGTCCTGGGGAAGTTTCTTCCTACCATCATGAGATGCCTGATGCGCGGATCCCAGCTTTGCCTCTATGTCCAAAGCTTTCTTACTAAAAGTAACAAAGCTGTGTTGTTCGACATTGGCCTCATCAACCATCTTGGTCCTTACCTCTGCAGGTAGGCACCTTAGGTAATCCGTCAGGAGAACCTGCTGGTCAAAACGCACACCAGGTACCATGAGTAAACGTTCTATGGTGTCCGTTAGCTCTCTAACAGTCTTGACCTTGCGGGAACAAAGATTGTTGATAGCATTGGTGGCCTTCTGAGCCCCTTGCGGGTCATGCCACCCGTTATACACGGACCATACAAACTCTTCCAATGTCTGCGCCTGTGCCCAGGCATCGAAGTTTTGACCGTAGCCCTGTTGTTGCACTAAGTCATTCAACCGGCGAGTTGCTGACCCTTCTAAAAAGGAGGCAACCACTACAACTTCCTGCTCTGGCCTGGTGAGCTTGTGCGTCACATAAGTAGGCACAGTCCTCACCCAGGTGTCTAAGTCCTCATCCTTCTTCCTATCACCAGAGAAGGGCTTGGGACTCGTCAAAGGTATCTTAGGCATCCACTGCATAGGCTGCATGGGCCTAGGGGCTTGCTGCAGCGGCTGCATAGCCACTGAAACAGGCTGTTGCACACTAACTTGGGCCTGGCTTGACAGTGGGACAGTAGTAACCACTGTCGTAGATGGTACGCCTGAGACTCTATGAACCGGACCACTAGTTGCTACTAAACCACCTGGAGGGGGTATGCCAAACATAGGAGAGAAAGTTGCCCCTGTGTGTTGCGGCATCAATGAAGGACCCGCACCTGCAGGGGAAACTACAGCAAACTGTGGCTGCCTCATCATTGTACGAGGAGCCCCAAGTTCAGCCAGGATTTGTTTCTGGCCTGCAACCAATTCGGCCAACAGTTCCTGCTGGACATTCTGCGCTTCTGCCACTGATAGAAAGCATTACGCAGCACACGAACAGCARGGTCTAATGCCGCCTCATCTAGTCCTTCCAGTCTGCCTAGCTCCTCTCTTCTACTACCTAGTCTAGCTTTTCTCAGGATTGCTTTCCTTCTTCTC